ATACACACATACTTATAGTATATAGTATGTATATATACATAACTACACATTTGCATATATTCATATACATACAAATATACATGCATATGTATGAATATAGTGTGTATACTGTATTCACATAGCATATGGTGTATATATACATATATATGAGTATATTTACTACACATACATATACATATATCTTGCTTTGTTAGAATAAAAAGGTTTGGCATTTCCCCTGACAAAGATATTGACTGGGCATTCTGTCAATGGGACTTTTTTGATGTTGTTTTTGGAAGGGATCAGTACTGTTTCCAGTATCCACAAAAGCACACCTTATAAAGCTTTCCTCACTTCTCCTATAAAGGAAGCTGTCTCTGTTGTGTTATTGTCACACTTAATTTGTATCTTCAAAGTAAAAATGATATTTTAAGAGTGAGTGAGAAAAACTACTGCCTTTACAAGGATAATCATGGAATGGAGGAAGGTTTTAAAAACAGGTGTGTGGGAATACTTCCATCATCATGTGAGTTTATTTTTAAAAATATTAAGTATATCACCTATAAAACTTCTGATATCTGGACACTTGCACTCAGAAATGGGATTTTGAGATTTTCTAAGCTGTTTCAATAACTTCACATGAACAGTTTTAAAGGAATTGATCACTTTGATCAAACTGGAGAAAATACACTTCTGACTCTTGAAAATGCAGCTGGCAGAGAGCTGGGAGATGGAATTCACCAACCTAGATTTAATGCAAGCCTTACATCAGTTGGTGGTTGAGGTTGGAAAATGCGTTCCATGATTTAGTGAGACAGTCAGCAAAGCCCCTTCCAGCTGTGGATCCGTGCATCTTCCTAAGGTTCTGAGAGTCATTACCAGCAAGTACTAGACCACAGTGAATCTGAACCAGGGCTTCTCAAAACTTTATGAGACAGTGTTAGAGCAAGACTTAAAAAAAATTAGAAGCACATACAATTCAATTGCTGTCACTGGAAATGCTATTATTAACAAAATGTCATAAATAGCAGCTTAGTGAGAAAAATTACGTATCGTTAATAAATGTAACAGTATTTAAAATACTCCTTTGTTCTTTATTTCTCCACTATTAATCACTATTTTTATTTAGTTATGTTTAATAAATGTTAGTATGTTAGTACATTTGTCTATTTATACATAGATGAATATGTATAAATGTACATATCTACTCAAACATTTTTATGATGATCGGTTTGAAAAAACAAAAATGTTTCGAAACCTATTGACACGGGCACTATGGATATTGTTGTCATGGTTACATCAAGACAATTTATGACTTCCTTTGCAGGAGAGACAGACTAATGGTTGAGTGACGTAGTATGCATTTGTGTTCTTATGGCTAAGTGTAAGTCTGTCCTCCCTCCCTCCCTCTCTTCCTCTCCCTCTGCATTATTTTCCCAGGGCTGCTATAAAAAAGTACCACAGGCAGGGCAGCTTAAAACAACAGGGATTTATTCTCTGACAATTTTGGAGGCCAGAAGTCTGAAATTAAGGTGTCCGTAGGACCACGTTCCCTCTGGAGGCTCCAGGGGAGTATACTTCCTTGCCTCTTCCCAGCTTCTGGTGACTCCTGGCATTTCTTGGCTTCTTACTGTATCACTTCAATCTCTGCCTCCATTGTCACATGGCCTCCTTCTCTGTATGCCTGTTTATCCAATTCATTAGATTTAGGGCCCACCCTAATAAGGTATGACCTATTCTTAAGTTATTTACATCTGCAAAGACCCTATTTCCAAATAAGGTCCAATTCACAGGTACTGAACATGTCTTTGGGAGGAACACAATTCAACCCACCGTATCCTTTCTCTTCCAATCATTTCTTACCTCTCTACTGTCCCCCATCATCGTCTTACTTTTATCTAATACCATAGGGGCCATCGAATTTTCTGGGATTTATCTGTGTGCAGAGAGGCCTTGGACAGACCAACAAGGCAGGGAGTTCCCACTTGGGAGAGGGATTGGTCTAGAGCAGGCCATGGAAAGGTTATATGGGTCACAGTCTTTCTGGGTACATGCAGAGGGGAATAGGGTTGACTACATCAGCCACGATCACATGCATCCTTTGAATCTGGTGTCTTGAAGTTTCTACCATCCATCTCAGCCTATTAAATAGAAGCGTTCCAAAACAAACCTATTTACAAACCGGAAGTAGACTCACAGACTAGAAAGCAAACTTATGGTTACCAAAGGGAAAAAAGCAGGGAGGGATTCCTTAGGAGTTTGGGATTAACATACACAAACTACTATATATAAAATAGATAACCAACAAGGACCTACTCTATAGCACTGGGAACTATGTTCGGTATCTTGTAAAAACCTATAAGGGCAAAGAATCTGAAAAAGAATAGATATATATGTATGTAAAACTGAATCACTTTGCTGTACACCTGAAACTAACACAACATTGTAAGTCAATTGTACTTCAATTAAAAAAAGCAGTGTTCCCATTTTCACTGGTAGTCTGAAGACAGGTTTTCTTTTGGTTTAGTAACATTTTCGTGTGCTCTAGTAATCCAGTGCTTACTGTGCAGTCCCAAATACAGGCTGTGTATAGATATTTCATATTATGTTTAAGTTGATGAGTTTTATTTTTCAACTTCAGTTTTATTTTTCAACTGTAGTCCTTGTGCTAATTTTTTATAACTTTTCCATCTTTTTCCTTTCTCTCGTGACTAGGTTCCTGATACTCATTCTAGCAATATATTTCATTTCTGTCTTTCATGATTCTTATGTCTCCCCTTCTTTTAAACAGTACTTGCCCCTCCCACCTCCACGTTCTGTCTTATCTCTCTGATTCATTTCTTTCCATTATATGAGATCTATGTAGCCTAGTACCATTGTCAGTTTATCTCATTTACTTTTTTCCCTCCATTGATGCCCAGTCATGTCATGTTTTATGCTTCGTTTCAACTGATACTTTACACGTGAGCATTTCAGTAATACTAAATTCACTCGTGGATTATCTCTCCTGAGTAGGCCCAGGGAAAATTGCTTCTTTGTCCTCCTTATCTTTGAGACTACCTCACTATTAATGACAGTCTTAATAACTGAGCCTCCTGGCCCAAAGAGATAATTTGAGAGAACCAATAGGTGGCAGACATTTGGTTTTATGAAAGGCAGAAATCATTTCCCATGGGAGAACATACAGTTCTTTCAGTAGAAAATAGGGTGCAGTTTTACTTCCCAGTGCTAAAGGACATGTCTGTTATTCAGACCAATTGTCATTCAAGCTGTGACCGATTCTACCTCCTGTATTGTAATAAGAGTTTAGTTTTTTGCAAAACCCTTGCTCCTTCACACATTGTTTTCCTGAGAGTTCTTTCATGAGAGAGAAATATACTTTTAAGATTAGTATACATAAGATAAATTTCTTGCAGGTGTCTTAAATATATTTCTCTATATCTTCAACCTTTGAATCAGAAGCATAAATGTTAACTTATTTTTCTAGCCTCCACCTTCTTTACTTTTTGCCCAGTTGCTCCAGAAAGGGTTACTACCTCTTTTACTTTAAAAGTCTCAAGGCCCTGTTTTACCTTGCCTTCTTCTAGGGAGTAATCTGGTTGCTGAAATACTCTTGCAGTTATTTCTGGTGTCTTATTCCCCAGCTTACTTAATGCTTACAGTCCTCTACTGCTTTCTTTACTTACCTCTATAATGCTCATAGTTTTTCTGTCTACTTCCTTTATACTTGGCTTATTTCCTTGGAGTGTAACTAAAAAGTATGCTTTGATTTTTAAAACCATTGCTCTGTTTGCCACATGTAGCCATTCTTTTAGTGACTGTCATAAAGCCAATCTCTGCAAAGGCTTTATAGTTTGAATTCAGCAACAGGAGTGCTTTCCAATATCTGGTGTTTCCCAGTCCTCATATAGTTGTTCGGCTTCATCTCAAGGACTTTGCTATTTCCCTTGTCTTCACAATGGCCTGCCCTGAGGTTGCTTAAACACTGTGAACTCTGCATGATATATGGTGGTGAGCACATTTTTTTCAGTGTTTCTGCTTTGCCTTAAAAACCTTATTATTTTTTTCCTTTTCTCCAAAACATGTGCTTTCGTGTATTTGGTGTTTCCACCAGTTAGTAGCCTTATAATAATAAGGAAGTGATAAACTGAGGTCTTTACAGCCTGGCAGACCTGGATGTGAACACTAGTCTTGCCACTGATAGATTGGATCACCTTCAGGAGTTAATTAACTGCTCTTATCTTTAGATTCTTCACCTGTGAAATGGGACTAATAATAGTGTCTCAATCATAGGATTAGTTGGAGGATTTTATATGACAGTGTTTGTAACTATGCCTGACATGTGAGGAGTGTTCAATAAATGTTGCCTATTATTTTTTACAAGTAAATCTGGAGTTGTCTCTATTAGCTCACAGTTTCTATTTCTCTAAACAAATGAAACATACTCTCATAACAATATATTCTTTTCCCCCATCTCATCTACATAGGCTTTTAAAGACTTGATAGTTTCCTCTTACCTAAGCATGTGTGTGTATGTATTTCTACTGTTCATAAGTAGAACTTTATGTAATGCTTTACCAGTCTTTCTTTTTTATAAAATTTTTGAAAAATACAAAAGAAAAAATAAAAGCACCCATAATTTTTTCACGTATCTATATCTACACATGCTTATATGTGTGTATGCATGCAAAAGGCATATGTATGCATATATGTGTGTATACATATATATAAAAGGGTATTATCACCCTACAACTCTACTATCCCTCCAATGACGTTACCAAAAGAAAAAACTATTTTTTTCACAATTAGATATTAGTATGGCCAGTCATTTTGTTATGCTTATAGGTACGGTTGCCCCTTGGTATCTGTTGGGGGGATTGGTTCTAGGACCCTCACAGATACCAAAGTCTCCAGGTGCTCCAGTGTCTTAGCATAGTATTTGCATATAACTTAGGCATATCCTCCCCTATATTTGAAATCACCGCCAGATTATTTATAATACCTAATACAACGTAAATGCTATGTAAATACTTGCCAGTGTGCAGCAAATTCAAGTTTTGCGTTTTGAAACTTTCTGAAATTAAAAAAAAATTTTTTAATTAAAAAAAAAATTCTTCATCCACAATTGGTTGAACCTGCAGATCATACCCTGCAGACATGGAGGGTCAACTGCATATATTATTTGCACTTTTGTTTTAAAAATATATTTAAAATATTCATCCTTTATATTAGTAATTAATGCCTTTTCCTTAGGCAATTTTTCTCTTCTTTTTTGCTTTGTATTGATGGTACTTTTCTGTAGGCCTTAAATAACTAAGCTGCTAATAATAAAAATGATTATACGAGGCATTTACATTTCATTTTAGAGTTTCCAAAATGGTTTTCACATGTGCTATGCCATGTAGTGCTCACTGCCGTGCTGTGAAATGGGAAATAATATCCCTATTTAACAGGTGAAAGCATTGCAAGTCACAGCGGTTAAGTAGTAGAAAAAATGTGGCTCCCAAACTACACTGTGAGCCCCTGGACCTCAAATCCCAGGCACATTTTTGAGGGAAGTGCATAGCCATGCTCAACTATTGGTTTTATGTTTTTCCACCATCTCCTACAGCCTGCTATGAGACTAACATGGAATCTGTTTTTCACCTATATCACTTTATTTTGAAAATTGTGTTTGTTCAATTTTCAAGGTCTTTCTGATACTTCTCTGTCTTCTCCACATTACTTTCTAACATAACCATGATGTGCTCTGAAACAAGTGCAATATCTCATTTTCTTAGATGCAAAAGTATCTGTATTTTCTCTAGGGTTCATTGTTCCCATTTTTCAGATATAATACAGGAATCGGGAGCAGGCAGTAAAATACTGTAGCAGTTAAAATTACAAGCTGTGGAATTCCACTGCCTGAGTTCAAATCACAATTCTGAGACTTCTTAGCTATGTAACTTTTGTCTGATCCTCAATTTCCCTGTGTGTAAAATGAAAATGGTAATACCACATCCTATAATTGTGGAAATGATTAATGACTCAAGATTTTACAGCACTTAATGGTTTTAAATATTAATATTAAAACATTAATATTACTTGGACCATAATGAGTGCTAAGAAAATGCTAACCAATATTACTATTATGCTAAAAATAGGGCATAACGTAATCAGATAGCTTTCCCAGATAGTATTAAAGATCCTGCCCAAACCAATGTGCTTTTCACTGAATAGTTTCGTGTTAGCTGTCTTACAGTGACTAATGATAGTTCTGCATAGAGTGCATGTCAGAACTTTTACTGCATTCTTCTAGTGTTCCTATAACTGTAACTGAGTTGATAAGTCTGTATGCAGATATTTGAATATAACAAAGCATAGCTATACTAATATCGTCAATTAGTATACTATATAAAGCCTATATATATATTATTTATGCAGCAACATTTATTATTATGATTGTTATGCTCTTTTAGAATGTTTGATAAAGCAAATTTTGATAGACAAGTGATACTATTGCATTGTAATGTTGACATTTTTAGGATAATGAAAATATATAGCTAGTGGCATGGGTCTGTGAAAAGAGCAGGGGGCTAGTAGATGCTGGGGTTATAGCTCTATCTGCCTCTAAGTATGTGATAAATTTAATACAGAGGTTAAATATTTAGAGCTGTTCTTTACCTCTTAACATGGCGGGTCTGGGTAGGTTATCTCCAAAACCACTGTCAGCTATGACATTTTAGATTCTTTCTGAATAATATAGAACCTCATAATTAAGACTATTAATAAGTGTGATGTGGACTGTGGAAGTGTTTACTTAAAATTCTGACCCTAAGTGGCACAGGGACTAGAAGAGGTCCACTCCTGGGGAAGATATATGTCTATGTGATTTGACACACTAGCATCTAGCAATTACCAGCCCTAACACCCCACTTAAAACTCTGAAGTACTTCTCCACTGTTCTTAAAAAAAAAAAAAATCCAGTGTTCCTAAAACTTGTAGGCAGCATAACCTGGACCCGACAAGACAGCCAGTCTTATCTCTACCAACTTGCCATGTTTTATGCTTGAGTACACAGAGCTCCTTTCTACTCTGGATTCTTGCTAATGCTGTTCACTTTTCTTGGAATTCCCCTCTCCTCTTTGACCCACTCCTGCCACTAACTTAACCTTTAAGCATTAGTTTAAATATAAGTCACAGACTTCTGTGTTGAACAACACAATGTTTTATGCATTAGAGACAAGATTACCCAGAAAGAATCCAGTTTCAGTCATCTCTTTTAAAATGAGGATCTGACAACATTTCTGTCCATGTTTGTACATGGCAGCTGGAGTCATTAGCTGATGAATAACACTTAAATGGATTCTGAGACTTGAGGACCCATATAAATATGTTCCTATGCACTTGGAACCCAGCTTCACTCAGGTATAGCACTTATTTGTTCATGTAGGGTGATGAGGTGGCAATCTCTAGCTAAACTTTTGCTTCCTCAAAAAATATCTTTTCTTGCATCCTTGGAATAGGTACCTCCCAG